AATCCCTGCTTCCCCCCGGTGCCCCATGCCACATGGGGGGCTCTGAATGAGCCCCCCAAATGCCCAAGGCCATGCAGGGGCAGCAAGTCCTGGGGATTTTCTCTTTTTTTTTTTCTTCCTTAAAGGGCCAGAGCTGGCATGGGGTGGGTGCCCATGGAGGGCTGGGGGAGCGAGGGGGAGGTTGGGAGCTCATGCCAAGTTTCAAGGAGATTGGTGCAGGGCTTTGGGGGGAACTGCCCCTCACACTGTGGACAAGCAAAACTGGTGCCATGAGTGGCACTGTGTGTGTTCAGGTGCAGCGGGGTGACAGCTGCAGGGATGGTGGCCCCTGCTGTGACACCTGCCAGCTGTGGAGGAGATCGATGCAGGGGGGTGCTGGGGCCCTGCACCCCTAGCTGCTGACAGGCAAAACTCATGCCAAGACTGTGTCTGTCTTGGGCAGTTGGTTGACTGTATTGAGTGTTTCCTCTCCTTAGCCTGGTTTTGTAGGTGCTAATTGATGCTCGTTAAGTCGTTATGTAGTAGCTAGGTCCTGTGTATTGAGCTGGTCCCTGAGTCCCTGGTCCCTGAGTGAATCATGATTGATTGATTGGTAACTGGTAGCTTAGCAGCCAGGCCTGCAGCAGTGCCTCCCCTCCCGCCCCAGGACAGACACAGTCACTCCCACAGCACCCACGGCACCTTTTTGCTTGTCCGCAGCCTGCAGGGCAGTTCCCCCCAAACCCCTGCACTGATATCCTTGAAACTTGGCAGGCTTTGTGGCCTCAGCAAGAGCTACCAGCCCTGCAGTTTTCACCCCCCTGTGTTATAACACATAGACGTGACAGGAGCTTTGCTTTCAAGAATTTGGGGTACAGTTTCTCCCACAGCACCCACGGCACCTTTTTGCTTGTCCGCAGCCTGCAGGGCAGTTCCCCCCAAACCCCTGCACTGATATCCTTGAAACTTGGCAGGCTTTGTGGCCTCAGCAAGAGCTACCAGCCCTGCAGTTTTCACCCCCCTGTGTTATAACACATAGACGTGACAGGAGCTTTGCTTTCAAGAATTTGGGGTACAGTTTCCCCAAAAGCTCTGCACTGATCTTCTTGAAACTTGGAAGATTTGTGGCCTCAGTAAGGGCTACCACTCCTGCAGTTTTTACCCCACTATGTTGTAATGCCTAGACGTGACATGAGTTTTGCTTTCAAGAATTTGGGGTGCCATTGCCCCCAACTCCCTGCACTGACTGTCCTGAAACTTGGCAGACTTCATTCTCTCTGCAGAGTCTACCATCCCTGAAAATTTCATCCAAATCAGACAAAAACCAACAAAGTTATAGATATTTTATTGTTCCCCATTATACCCTATGGCCAGATCTCTGAGGCAGCTCCGAACCGCTTTGGGAAGCCGAACAAGGCCAGCGCTTCGACTCGGATGTGCTGCTTCAGACCCTGAAGTATCTGAAGCTTCTCCAGATCCGAAGCTCTGTCCGAAGCCTAGCACAGCCCTATTGTGCAGTATGGAGGCATAGGCATTCACACAGCTACAATGCATGGGCTGCAGGCTACTCATGGCGTGTACCCAAGTGTAAGTCCTGGAGAGAATGAAGAAAGTCCTTCCGACTTTTTAGCTGTATTAGTTAAGAGGTTAGGACACTACCCAGGAAGGGGAAGTTTCCAACATCAAGAGGTTTAGGCTCCCATACCCCAGACAGGGTTTAAACCAGCATCTCTCTAATGACAGTGTTCTAAGCATCATACCACAGGTTAAGCATTACCAAATGCCTTCTCCAATGCTCCTTTTGAAGCTGAGACACTGCACTTTGCATTTAGTGGTTAGGGGGTAAAACAGATAGAAAGTAGTGGGAAAGTATCTGGCCCACAGGAAGAAAGAGTCCAGGCTAGAAAGCAGGACCTGGCCCCTTCTGGTGAACCATCATTTCACTGAGTGTAACAGCATTCCCTGCTCCCAGTCAAGTGTGGAAAGTGGCCACTGCAGGTGTGTTCCCCTGCCTCACCTGCTCCCTGCTTGTTCTCCTCAGGTGCCCCTTGTCAGCCCAGGGCTCCATCCATGCCTCAGATTCCACGGGGGGCCATGTGTCTGCAAATCCTGGCAGATGACACTTCCTGTTGAAGGGGGATGAGATCCTTCTCTGTGTTGATACTAAATTCATAATCCAGCCTCAATACCCTGCTCCAAGTGAGCACAACCTTCAGACTGACCACTATGCCTCCAGTTAATAATAGGCAAATTTTATTGATACACAGTGATATGAAATAGGAGCAACGGAGGCAAAGCAAGCAAGATGATTACAACATACATTACTTAAATTCCCCACTGCCCAGAATATACACAGGTTGAGCAGTGTGTCTGGCTGGTACGTAAATGCCACCTTGAAGTTTTCTGCTTGAATGTCCAATCTCAGCAACCTTGGAGGTCAGGGGCCAATGCCAGCTTGTTGTTTTGAAGGCTCCTTTTGTGTTCTTTCTCCTCTGATGACACTTCACCTTTGGGCATCATTGATTGGTCTCTCCATGGTCATCACACTGTCCACATTTGGTTTTGTCAGCCAAAATCTTATCTTCATAAACCTCTCACATGCACACATCTTAATTTGGTCATTTCATTTGAAACCAGAAAACCCAAGGGTTTTTGCATGTGGGTACTGTAGCCCTGGAGCCAGGTCTATCTCTGTTATGCAAATAAAGTTTGGATGTTTTTAACTTTCCAGGATATGTATATCCCTTGGCCTTAGACACCCTGTTTGCTTTGAAGGCTGTGAAACTGTGTAACAAAAAGGCATTTAGAAATCAATTAACCCTTGCAATTCTCCTAAACCATTGTTCTAATACAATATCTATTTTACCTACAAGCAGATTCCTAAAAGCAAACCTCTAAATATAATTTTCTAACCATCACTCTGCACATGACTGCCTCTCTTGGCTACTGAGCTGTTCTTTGATAGATTCCTTTAGCCCAGGAGTGTCAAACTCATTTTGTGCTCTGGGCTGGATCTGAACTGCAAGGCTCCTTGAAGACCAGATACAGCCCAGGGCATGGGGAAACAGCAGTGGATTTATGTGGCAGCCCTGGTTCTGACATGAAGTATACATTGGTGGTGGTTACGGCAGCTCCAGGTCTGACCTGGAGAATGCAGTAGTGGCTCCAGCCCCCTCCACATGTCCCAGACCTGTGCTAAAACCAGGTCTGCTGCCACCTAGCACTGGGAGCTCCAGCTCTGGCTGCAGCTCGGGGTGTGCAGTTGGAGTCAGTGGCCAAGGAGGTAAGGCCCCATCAGGGGTGTCAGATATTTGTTCTAGAGGTCAGATTTGGTCTACAGAGCCACTCTGTCCAGATTTCCAGATAACAGGTCATTGGGTGTGTTGGGTGTGGGTTCAGGGGGAGTGGCCAGCTGTAGACCCTGGGGCCCTCAGATCCCCATCTCACATAGCCAGTGACAGATCTAAGATTTCAAAAAGGGAGTGTGGGTAATGGAACTGGTGCCACAGGGGTGGTTGTAATCACCTCCCACATCTGTGGGCACATTGCACCAAGGTAGCAGCTGCTGGGGTCTTTTATGTATCTCCAAAGCAGGTATGCCCCCCTGACTTAGCCTCCTGGGTCTGGGCACTCCATCTTCTGGAGTTCAGTGACATCCCATCCTCTTCCATTCTTCCCTCCCGCTGTCCAGCAGATTTTGTCTCTGGATATAGGATGGGGGATTTGCCCATGGATACCACCCTCCCTGGCCCAGCCATTCCTTGCAACTGTAGTCCTGTGGCTGGTAGGGGAAACCTGAGAGAGGGGACAAAGAGCAGGGTCCCACCGACTGATGTGCCAGACCAGTCTGGCACCCCATGTTGCCACTCCTGGCAGCCCCTAGCTGAAGCAGGGCATTAGTGGCCTGGGGCTTTCCCCACACTGGTCACCTGGAGACAGCAGCCTCAGCAAGTGGTCATCCCTTCCTCTCCTGCTCCCTTCTTGGTCTTTCCCAGATTCCAACACTAGCCCAAGGTGGCAGCCATGCCCTGGATTCCCCAGGGGACCCAGATGAGTGTGACTACAAGGAATTAGGGCCACTTGTTGTGACATTTACTGTTTCAGAGGGGTTATGACAGCGGCATAGCAGCCCCCACCCTCCCCCCGGGTCCTCCTCTACACAAACTTCCCTTTCTTGGCTTTCTTCTCTGTTAGATTTTTCTAGTGCAGGGGTGTCTAACTCATCTTGTGCCCTGGGTGGATCTCGACCACAGGGCTCCTTGAAGGCCAGATACAACCCATGGAACAAGGAAACAGCAGTGGTGGCAGTGGCAACCCTGGCTGTGATGGTGGGGGCAACCGTCAGCTCTGGTTCAGGCCAGGGGCATGCAGCAATGGCTCTAGCTCCATCTGCATGTCCCAGGCCCACGCCAGAACCAGAGCTGCTGCCATTGAGTGGTGGTAGCTCCAGGTCTGGCTCTAGCTCAAAGTATGCAGTGGGGCCAGGGTCCACAGAGATAGGTCCCTGGCAGTGGCAACAGGCAAAGTAGCCTCAGAGTGACTGAGGTTGTCAGCCTTTGCTTAGCCTCCTGCCACCAATGGCCATGTCCCTGAGGTCTGAAGGCTATCCACTCCCCCCACAGCCAAACTCTCCAACTCCCAGTGGCCTATTGGCAGTGTGGCGATCTGGATACAGTGGCTCAATGGGCCATATCAGACCTGCAGACCAAACATTTGACACCCCTGCTCGAGCCTTACTAATGTTTATGATCAGTTAAATCTAAGAACAACTCAGTGATCACACTCATTGGTCAACCCCTGGTCACTGGGCAGAAACAGTGCATGGTTCCTTACTAGGAATTAGTGCCATGGGAGAGAAGGACATGGGATTGCCATAGCCAGGAATCCTCTGGGAGGTGACAAAAATGGGGATAAAAACTTCCTTTTGGGGATGCAAAATATCAGATCATTGCATGAGCAGAACTGAATTTTGGAATGAATACTACATTTTCTTTTATCCTGGGATAAATGTGATGTTGGTTTGCCACCATAGGAAAATAGGACTGACTTTGATTTAAGATGAAAACAGTTGTCAAATGATTGACATTCCCAACAAAATGGAAACTTTTGTATTCCCCACTCATCTCTCCTCTGTTGATAGCCATCTTGGCCACTGCCAGAAATCAGGGCTGCTGCTGCTCAGCAGG